TGTTCGGTTTGTATTTGAAGCATTAGATTCTGGAGACTTATTAGGAGGTGCCCATGTGGACAACCATTCAGCACTTATTTTTTTTCCAATGTTTTATGTGGAGTCAATTTTTTTGTTTTTATTATATAAATGAAAACAAAGAAATCTCAGTGAAACACAAAAAAGGAAATATAAAAATTGAATCTTATTCCTAATATATAGGATTCGTTTGTTTTCAATTCTTCACTATATTTATTAACTTCCAAGAAAAAAGATTGACTCCACTATTTTCTTAATTTCATCGACAAAACTCAATTTGATTCTTTTCATTTTGGATTCTGCAGAAACTAAACTGCGTTATTGCGGACAAAAGGATAAACCAAAAGTCGTTTTAAAAAAAAAGGGAAAAACAACAAATAATTAAGTATTTAAGTGGATAATTAAAATAAATTATATAGGGATTTCTGGCAACAACTAAGAAAAATGTAGGTTTGAGCAAAAGGTATGATTGCTAAGAAACGGCATAATAAGCACTGTCATGACAGTCAACATGCCATGTGATTCATAAACCAATATGTAACAAATTGGATTCTATAATAATACTACTATAGTTTTATTTATATATATCATTCTTTGTTCTCCATCGCCTCCTACGTGACGTGACAGCTAAGAATTATACTAGTAATAAATACAAAAGATGTTGATAATATCAAAATACATGTAAATGTAAAAGCAATAAATCTCGAGCTCCGAACCTATATTGTTCTCCAATTATGGTGCCTATAGTTTAAGATTAATTCTGTGTTTTATCAGCCGTAATCTTTAGTTTATTGCGTGACATGTGGCTAACTCTAATTAAGTGATGGATTTTAGAGAGTGAATTTAGCTGCGGACCTGAAGATTTGTTGTTGACGATGCTGAGAAAAACAATGCTAATCACATCACAGTTATTATTTTTTTTTTTGACGTCATCACAGTTATTTTAATTAACAACCAAAGAGAGATTAAAAAATCTCAGTAAAGATTGAAAAAAACTGCAACTTGAGCCAAGGAAGAAACTGCTGATTTTCATACCTCTGAGATAAATTTACCAGTCTGTAAACAGCAAATCAACGGCAGAGACACCAATTGATTTGAGTATACAAAAGATTTAAAAGATCGATCAATCAAAAGGCATCATTTCAGTTGCAATCAGCTCTATGAGAGAACCAAGGCAGAAACTATCGTATTTACAGTGCAAACCGCGGTCATCTTCAGCACTAACCGGAACCAATATTCCATCTCTGAAAACGAATACTGGTTCGAGCCAAGTCTTAGGGCTTGGATATGTATTTGCTTTATCTAAGCTCCCTTGCTGGTCTTCAGCACAATGACTGCAACATTCGACCGAGGCAAGAAAATTACCGGGCAAGCTTTTGCAAGAACATGCTTCTTTTTTTGGACATTCATCGTGTTCTCCAACCTTTGCTTCCTCTGTAGTACCATTGTTTTTGGAAGAGATGAATTTTCTAACAGCAGCAATAAGCTCAACTGATAATGAACACACAGCATCATGTATGCCTTCTGTTGTGATGGAACTCCTACCAAGTCTCAGTTCGCGATTAACTAATTTA